ACTTGTCTGCTGAGCTATTAGCTCTGTGGCAATGTGCCTTTCTGGCTTTCAGCCAGGTGAAATGTTGAATCATTTTCAGCCAAAGTGATATATAGTGAGTGTATGGTTAAGGGGAAATCCAACCCCCCAAAAAACAACTACTGTAGAATAAAGCATACAAATCAGAGAAGTAAACTGATGAAAGTTTCAATTAAATCTGACTAAATATAAGAAAGTTATGAATTTTTGAAAATTATAATCACTATACGTATGGGCACTTCAAACTGGCTGTTATTTCAACATGATATAGTGCCGGACTACTTTTCCATTTGTTCCAACATATAAAATGACTAAAATTTAATAAAATTTGTTGCTCAGGAGGGTCTATTCTTTTAAGAGGACCTATAATAATATGCTTTCTATAATATATTTTGTGCGCCCCAAGGGAAATGGAACTTATGAGAAAAACAGAAATTAATGATATTTTCGTACAAGGCAAATGGGAGAGTTATCCACGTCCTACGTCACAATCCACTGACGGAACTACCAATTTGAGCTTTGCATTGACTTAGTGATCTCATATTTCAAACTTTTGTCATTCTGTTGTTGTTGTTTTTCTACTGTCATACAAATCAACTTATTACAAGGGTTGGATTGCCCTTTAAGTAACTTAGCAGTCAATTCATGATGTGTTTGGAAGCAAAAGCTTAGGGGGTGTGAATCTCCAAATCCAACAATTTTTGTCAGCCAATTTCAAATATTTGTTTTTTAAGTGGCAAGAGTTGATGGTCAACTTTTTATGTTGGTCCCAATTCAGAATGGTCTTGCAAAAACTCTAATGAAGCTTTGAGAAGAAAACATGTTTATAATGATTTATGTGCTTTCATGCCTCAAAACTTGGCCCATTTTACTTTTCAGTGTCACTTTACAAATATATTTTTGGAAGCAACAATTGAGTTTGACATAAACTTGGCAGTAAGTAGGAGACAGTCATTGCGTGTAGCATAATATAGGTATTAGCGAATTAAGTAAGACTTGTGATGATCAAGCTAGTAGAGAGTAGAGACAAGAGATCGTTTTTTCCAGTCATGACTATCTTGATTATTATCATCATACAATTGATGTATGAAATTATGGAAAGTTCTCTAATACCAGAGTATAAGGTTTCGTATTACGAATACATATACATGTAGACCAACCAGGAAATCAGAATTGTTAATTGGTAACATATTGCTTGGTGGCTTTTAATTTTGTTAGTGAATCTTTTTTTGTTGTTGGGGGGGGGGGGGGGGGAGGAGGGGTGAGGGGTGAGGGGTGGGGGGGGGGGGGTACACACCTGAGAAGCAGATGCATATTTGCTCGAGGAGGGAAGACAAAGGTCAAGCATCTTCTTGACATTTATTAGACCGCAGTCACAATTGTTGGTCATTTCCTATAACCTCCTTTCATGTTGTCATGTTCTTCTGTAGAAAAATTGAGCTCTATAAGGCCTGTCTACATCAGCTCGAGTTTGCCAAATAACCCGCTGTTTCAACTATCCCGATCGCAAAATATCCAGCTAATTTGCGTCTTCATCAGCCAGCAGTTGCAATTAGCGGGATATTTGGTCGAGAAAATATCCCAAGAAACCTTGGTCTTGTTTCCCAAATATCCCGCTATTTCGGAAATAGCGAGCTAATTTTCGCCTGTCCAAGCTAGTTTGTGATGAGTGTATCGGTCTGGTGAAGTCGGAATTTCGAGCTTCGGTATAATATCCTGAGTCTGAAAAAAGCGTGTTATATTTGGCAAACTCGAGCTGATGAAGATAGGCCTATAGATCAGTATTAAAAAGCACTCATCCTTTGATACTCTACAATCTCAGTGCTCATCATAAAAGACTCAGATAAGAACCTTTCCTTTTCCATCAGTGTTTACCTAGATTGCCTGTGTGGAGCTGTATTAAAGCCCCTCTAAAGTGTTAGGAGCCCCAATTTTGTAATTTGTCGTCTTCCCTTTTTGTTGCTGTTTACATTTTTAACAAATATATATTAAAGAATATAATATCTCAATGATATGTCTCTATTAATAATTCGCTCAAATTTATCATTCTTATGTTTCTCAGATTTTCTGCAGTTACCTTCAGTAACTTTCTACTGAAGCTTAGTTTCTCTTTCACTATGAGTATGCAAATGAATGTGTATATATGCAAATTATTGTTTAGTCATATTAAAATGTCAAATAGAAGTTGAAAGGTGAAATATCTAAGCCATATGTCTTGTGTAATCAACTTTATCCCGACTTTTATTTCCTCCAGATTTCTAATACATATCTTCCAAAGCGATTTTACATCATATTTTTCTCCCAAATGTCAAGAAGTAGCCTTAATTCATCATTTGAAAAACAATATGTTGAGCCTGAAGGCTTTCTTAATTAATTCACTTATCAGACAAGAATTTATTCATTGTCTGGAGAGAGAAAAATCCACAAAATTGAGCAGGAGACAGAGAAATAGTTCCTCCACAAATTCCTGAGGCACAATATAGAGTGAGAAAGGAGTTATCTATTTATAATATATGAGTTATGACCTTCTCGGCACACAGTATATGGTCTGTCTTTAACTCCCCCTTTCCTGTGCTCTGCCATAGACTGTGAGAGCTGCAATAATGGTACCTTATCTGTAACATATTTCAATGAAATTCTATACTAGTGGCAGCCTAACAATATTGAAATATGAGAAAGTCTAAGGTGGTCAATGAGAACAACAAACAATATTTCCTTTGGAAAATATCCATTATCAAACTGTTATGGATCTAGTAGAGGCGAGTCATACTCAATCACCCAGGGGCTGTATCAATTGCAAGCAGTAAGTGATGTTGGAAACTTTAGTGAGTGAAGGTCTTCTTTCACAGATAGGACAAAGGTGTAAGAAAATACCTTATTTTCAAGGTGTCATCAGCATATACATGCTGTTTTTATCATTCCAAGTCATCTAGACTCATGTATGTAATTGATACTTCATCATAATTGAAGGGAAATGTTTCATTTGATGTATCACAGACTGAAACCTTGGTGTTAAGCTGTGCTACTTAAACATGGAAATATAAAGTCTTGAAATAGATACATTTGTATTTAATACTTGTGTGAAGCAATAATAATGTAGAGCTCTAGTTTAGTTGCATTATGTTTCCTGAACAAATATAGTTTGTATCACTTAAACATTAATATTCTGTTTTTAACACATTATAATATAGCCTTCCTATAAATTTTTACCCCAGATTTAGCTCTGGCAGCCGTTATCAGCGCACAGTGCATTTAAAAAAATAATCCTAACAGGTACCCATTTACCTCGCCTGGGTGGAGTGTGGCAAATGTAGATTAAGGTCTTGCATACCTATATAGAGGAATTGGTTCGGATGTAATACTGATACTAACTGCTTTTAATTGGTTGTATATTCTTCTTTCAATAGAGCTTTAAAAGCAGAGCTTTAAAATTTTACGAATTTTACATTTTGGAGAAGTTCTGATTAAAATGTTGTTCTCATCAGTTATGCGGCGGAAGGACATATTATTCTACATGTACATGTATGAAAGGCATTGTTTAACAATGTTTCCAGTTTTACAAATCTGAGATGCATGGCCTTACGTGTTATCAGTGTCTGTGATATGGTGTAATATTGAAGCCCTAAAAAAAACATTGCGCTTCAGAATGATCATGAAGTGCTTCAAAACGATCATAAAGACAAAGTGCTTCAAAACGATCATAAAGACAAAGTGCTTCAAAATGATCATTAAAAAATTGGGTGACCTGTTTTACCATACTCATTTTCCCCTATAGACTGTAGTGTTATAAAAACGGTGTTTGAAATTTCTAATTCCAATCATAAATACCTTGATAATCAGAAAGGCAATCGACTTGTAAAAGTCATGGGATTCCTGACTGACCTAAAGGTTTATAATTATGATTGCAGCATAAGCTAAATCAAAGATTTTTTTTTAAGAATCTGAGGCAAAGATACACAATAAATATTTGTTAATTTTTTTATTTTAGCAGAGAATATTCCGTAGGCTTTTCAGGGAGTAAGAAAATGACTTGGGTATTTAATTTTCATTTTTGCTTGGCTTCTCTCCGTCACATCGTTATGACTAATTTCTATTGGTGAGCACCAGAAGGGTATTAATGATATAGTGTTCTTTCTTAAGCACCCTTCTTGCTCTCAGTTCATTACATGGTTCAAAGCTCAGAGGCATCATTTGGATTAATGATTTTTTTGTTTGCCTTACTCTTCTCATCACCTTCATAATCATTGGATATTGAGGAGAGATCTGTCAAACAAATGAATTATGGACTCCTTAAACACTTCATAGGAGCATCACTCATTTATTTTTATTCTCGAAGAGCAGGACGTTTTAATTGGATAGTGAATCATAGCGTGCATGACTGTGTGCTGTCCGTGTTAGATGTGAAACTGTTCTTTCACTCAGCTTATTAGCTCTGTGCTGTGATCAAGGTATATTCTATCTCTGTTGTCTCCTATGTTATCTTGTGTTTGATTTTTTTCTATTCTTCTGATCATCCATCTCCCCCTTCTCTCTCTCTCTCTCTCTCTCTTTCTCTCTCTCTCTGTGTTAGTCTCTCTCTCTCTCTCTCTCTCTCTCTCTCTATTCTGTCTTTATTTTTTGTCTTCTGTTCATTTTCCTCCACATTTCTCCTTTAGGTCATCCATCATCCTCCCAGCTCTCTCCTTTCTGTCCCATTTAATGTTTTTGTGATTTCCCTCTTTCACCACAATCTCTCTTTTCTTTCTCTCTCTCTCTCTCTACCCCTGAATACATACCTGGGAAATCACACTGTAGAGAATTAGAGATGTTAAGCTGATTACCAATATGGATCACAGTAATTTGGTGTCGTAGAGTGACTAGAAATGTGTGCAATGTCTGTCAAGCTGTGACACGTTACTGGTAATTGGCTTTGGGCTGTGACATCATCAGCAGACCCCAGACATTTGCTCTATTCTGATTTTTGACTCCTTGTCTTTCTACAGGTACCAGTCCCTTGGCTACGTCCTCGTCTCCACCTAAACAGGCTGCGTCTTCAGAGGAGGTCTGGGTTGTTGATGAGCAGAGAACAAAGGCCACTGATGAACACCTTACAAGCAGCACAGAGAACAATCTTAACCGACCTTCAAAGCCAACCTCATCCAACGTGGCTCATCATCTATTGAACCGGGGAAGCAGCGAACGAATAAGGGGCGATCGAAGCGCAAGACTCCACCCCCAGAACATTACCAGGGGTTCTGTTAGACACACCATGAGTGTTTCGGCAGAGAACCTACCTACGATTCCTAGGAGCGGAACTGGTATGGAGGACAGGCCAGGCATGGAACCCCGTAGCAGTTCAATGAACGACCTCATCAGGATGGACCCTGCCCTCCAGATCCCGGTGATCGGGATCGAGGAAGCTTCTGACCAAGAAGACGACAAGATATCTTCCGAAAGGACGGGACAAACAAAGTCCCCCGCCAGCTCTCCACCCATGCCAAGATTCTTGAATCTGGACCTGGCAAAACGACTGTCGCTGCCCAATGAAGGGAGTGCTAATAGTCTTTCTACTAGAACTGGAAGTGACAGTGATCTTAGTTGCAGTGGTAGTATTACACCAGACGTCAATGAGTGCAGGAAGAATGTTGGAGAGACAGGCAAATTACGTAAAAGCAGGTAAGCATTAAAAATTTTCTCCCATTTTTCTTCCTCACCTCTCTTGATTTTACAAATAAATTGTCAATTGCAGTCCTAACATATTCTAGTGATTACAATTTGATTGGTATTGGTATAATGTAAGAGATAATGATCCTCTTTTTTCATTGTAGAGGTTTTATAACCTCTTGCTTTATGAAGAAGTGGCTTATAGGACAATCTGTTCCATTCTCTCTTAATAATTGCAGTTAGGTCAAGCTGAACAATTTAAGGATCAATTTTTTGGTGGTGCCTTCTCTGAAATTTTCTCACTGGAGCTGTGGCCAGAGCTATTACTACTGATTATTCAAAACATGATACATATTGCAGTTCATTAAGACCTACTATCTCCAAACTGAATCTAAATATTTGCTATCACGTAGACCTAATGCAGTCAAAGGAGGCCCCCTCGAGTGCTCAGTAATAGCCCCCGCCGCAGCTCCAGTAACAATATTACCCCGACATCAGAGAATAAGTCACCAAGGAATTGACCCTTCCAACTTACAGAGTTTCTAATTATAAGATAGAGCCCTATTTGCCATCGGCCATGAATTGGTAATCCACTCAACGAAGAGTCCCCTAAGCCTTCAACGACACAGGCCTCAACTACAAGTAGACTGAGGTTTATTCCCACTGCTCTGTTGTGTCATGAAGTGATGTGGTGTGAATTTGATATCTTACATCTACCTAAGATATAGTTTGAAACAAAACAGAGAAACAAAAAGAAACGTATGACTTGGAGATCGAAAGGTTATTTATGTAAAGGATGTGAGGAGAGAGAAATTTGGATTGAATCTGTGGATATGATGGTGAATGATGATGATGATAATGATGATGATGATTATGATGAGGCTAAAAATGATGATGATAGGCAACAAGAAGAAAGACGTAAAGATTAGTATAGAGTAATTTAATAATATTATGAAGCTGAGTACATATTCATTTTTAAGGCAAACTCTGTAGAGATCAATTTTGAAATCCAAAGCTTTTTTTAAACAGTTTCCCAGCAAAACAGACAATTTTGCTCAACTTTGTATTCATAAATGTTCCAGTCATTATAATGAGAGCTTTCAATTTTTCTGCTGAAAAAATGTAAACGTTATAGCATCTCTCTGACATTAAGAAGTGTTGCACCCCACTTAATACACACAACACATTGCTGTCGGCAGGCATACAGGAAGATGAATTAATGATGTTTTGGAACTGGGTTATCCTTCAGGGGAAAAGAGATCCAGTAGGTAGATGATGCTTGCTTAATATACCATTTATCCATGTCCTGGAGCTGGAGCACTTGCTTGTTTATCTTTAATTTGTAACTGCCCTATACAAACAGTTCAAGTGGCGGACATCAAAGTTTATGCTTCAAATCATGTACACAAGATTGATGATCGTTGGTCTATACCATCTTCATTTTAAAGTCTTCGAAAATATGCAGTAACTTTAATACCCACTTGTGTCACTAACAGATTCTACTTGTTTCTCTCAAGCAGTACATGTATTATTCACACTTTACAAAAACGTGTTGAGACATCATTATATTACTATCTGTTACTAAGTTTAAAATTTGAAATCAATTTTCCAAGGGGAGTTTTTCAGTAACTGATGGTAAGTTTTCAAATATTTTGGTTGAAGTTGAAGTGAAGTTCATTTAAAACATACTTAGTTCTGTATTAAATAATTCCTTCCTCAAAGTTGAAGTCTCAGACTCGAAATTAAAAAAAAAAATGTTTGCTCTGTGATGTATGATTTGAATGTCCCTTTGCCGGTAAAAAGTGACCTTGATATTCTGCCATACTTTTTGCTTCTGTCTTTTGATCATCTGCTGAATTACTATTTTGGCTGTTGTAGCATTCGGCGTGGACAAAAAAAACATACCAGAATGTTTGTTTGTCACCTTATCTGTGCTATGTTATCACAGTGTATCATTGCAGAAAATGCATATAATGAAGGAAGAAGTGAAAGTTTATCACATTGCCTGCAATCATGGCACTTCAGCAGGTGGCCTGTGGCTTCCGGTTGCCTGCAAAAGGGATCATCTCCACAATTCAAGCATATCAAAAATATGGACTTTCTGTTTATTGTCATGTCTCCCAAGTGTGTCTGTCAAGTCTCTCTAATGTGTGATATTCTGTGGGTAAGGTGATGACAGAACGGGCTCAATTTGTTCAGTCATCCGTAGTGTGTCAGGCAATCGTTATTAATTTCAGAGAACAATAAACACTTAATAATAATCAAGTTCCCATTTAATGAAACAATGGTCCTTCTAATAAAGGTTTGTGGATGGGAGTTTATTTTTGGAGGGGAATGATTTATTCTAGATGTATATCTAATCTCTGTTGTAGTGACATCTCTACATGCAAAATTATTATTGTTTAGGAGACTAGTATGATCTGGTCATCACCCCTCCCCAATATGTATGTAGAAATTGTGTATATCCTACTGCTTCATTATAACTCTTAGTTTGGGAAATCATCTTATTGTTTTCTATATTTCATTGATCAGCATTGAAAATGCTTTCTTCAGGTTGAAAAGGCATACGGCAGCGATATAGGATATTGATGTATTGCTTGGTTCTTTTTTGTATTGTAATTAGTTAATACAAAAACATTAACTAGAACTAAATTTAAGAATTTATTCTTACAAAAGTTTGCATGACAATATCATTGGAGAAGCCAAGATTTCAGTGGCTGAGTTGAGTGGCATTGTGTTGCCATCAATCAACATGTCTATAATTAGATAAATAAAGTACTTTAGTCCTGGAAGGTGCAGCTGTTTTGTTGTTGTAGTCTGATTCAAGAAATCAATGTGGATACCGATACAGGTGAAGACGAAGGACAGGAAGGGGGAAGAAATCAAAGGAATGATGGATAGGACTAGGAGATGGAAGGTGGAATGGCAGCAGTTCATTCATAGAGAATGATAAAACTATTGAGTCATTGAATCTGGTTTTAAAGGCATCGTTGAACAATGTTAAATCTGAGATGCATGGCCCTACGTGTTATCAGTGACTGTGACTTGGTGTAATATTGAAGCCCTAACAAAATTGCGCTTCAAAATGATCATGAAGTGCCTCAAAAAGGTACAAATCTTTGAGTGACCGGTTTTACCATACTCATTTTCCCCAATAGACTGTAGTGTTATCAAAACCATTAGGAAAACAAAAAAATTTTGATTTTCAATCATAAATATCTTGGGATTCCTGACTGCCCTAAAGGTTTATAATTATGATTGCAGCATGAGCTAAAGCCAAGATTTTGTTTCAGAATCTGAGGCAATGTTACCGAGTCACTTTAAGGTGTACTGTAGGGTGAGGCATGCAGGTAGATTGAAAATGTGCTCAGAAAACTAAGCAGGATTGAGAGAGAGAGGGAGGGAGAGAAAAATTTGCATTTGATATCAAACAACTTACAGAGTCAAGGACTGTGACTGAGAGTGATGGAAATGAGGTAGAGCGATAGAGAGAGATAGACAGAGACAGAGAGATAGAGAGAGAGAGACAGAGACAGAGAGAGTGGGGAGAGACAGAGAGAGAGAGACAGAGAGAGTGGGGGAGAGAGAGAGAGAGATATGGAGGGAAAGAAAGACAGATAATAGCGAATAGGGAGGGGGCAGGGCAGTCATGAGCTGTGCTCTCAGTGGTAGATATGAACTGAGAAACAATGAAATATTTCATTTACTTTGGGGAGTGTACTTTCACTCGTATGGTTACACTCATACACTCACACTTACATACATACATTTATGGTTAATTTCTTGCTGCAGATTAAACCATTGAAAAAGGATGAGAAAGGGAGAATGATAGCAAAAGAGAGGATAGTTGTAGCTGGCATCATGAAAATGAAAATGAAATTCTTGGTTCTGACTCTAAAGCAAAAGAAGCTTGATGGCAAACTGTGATCACTCCACTTGTTCCTGCCCCTGTGGTGGTTTAGATGTCCTGTGCACCTGACTTACAATTATCCCCAGAGAGGATAGAGATTCTACCTGAACATTGATTACTGGTGTAATGTTGATGTTATTGATTCCGTCCTTAAGAAACGGGAGAGGGTACGCTTAAAAGGCAGGGTAACTTACCGGCATCGCTTCCTCTGCTGTAATGTATTTTCAATTGGGTCGTCTTTTGGTGAAGGCGTACTTAGAGCGATTACCTGTTTCTGTACCCAAGCATCATCAAGTTTGCATCTTGCAGTTGATGATGCATTGTAGGACATGGTTGTTGACACATCAGGATATCATGAGCAGCAGATGGCAGTATACATGTACATAAATTTGAAGTAGGGCCAGATAACAAAAACGAAGTGTTTTTCTTCCCGCTCGCCTCCTTTTTGGCCGCTAGCTGCCTCCTTTTTTAAAACTATTTGCTATTCAGAGAAAAAAGCACACACACACTAAAAACAGCCAGTGATATACATTTTGTTTAAATAACTTCTAAAATGATACAAATCATTTGTTTTGTCATACATTACACCATTATACTTACATAGCACAATATCTGTGAATGAATAGGCTTGGCCAGCTATAATAAGCATGGTAGCCATCTTGGAGAAAAAAAAGCAAACAATTGCAAAATAGTAATGCCCTGCCTCCTCCCTTTTTTTAAAAGTCAGGACGAAAAACATTATTTTTTGTTATTTGGCCTTTACATGTACATGTCAGTAGAATATCTTACCTTTAAATTTTGAGACATCATGAAGCGATGTCTCCAAAAATGTTTGAATCTCTTCAAGTATGTGATGATCATCTGACAATCCTGAATCAGTCTTCAAAATGTTCTAAGAATTTTTTTTTTAAATATGAGTGTTGTGATTCCACTAATTAAAAAAAACTTGATCCAGATAACTTGTTAGCATAAATTAGAGAGATTTGGCCCTCAAAGTTGATATCCAACACCTTTTCAACATAAACTTCAGGAGACCAGTTTGGGAGCGACTTATCCGCCTCATAAAAAGAAGGCCAGTTCAGTCACATTGAAGATGATAATT